CGCCACCCGGTCCCCCGCCCGGTCCACCAGCGGGTTGGCCGCCCCGTTCATGCCCCGATCCCCCGGCCCCGCCTCGCCTCGCTTGGCCGCTCCCTTCCCGCCCCGTCCCCTCCTTCCTTCCGGGCGGCGAGTGCAGCGGGGAAAGCGGTCCGGGCCGGCAGCCTCGAGCACCCGGGGCTGGGCCCCGCCTGCCCAACTCGCTCCTACAGCCAGGGACCGCGACGCCCCCCGTTTCTCAGCCGCCTGCGCCTGCCGGGGTCCCTCTCCTTTGCCTGCCCCCGTGACTGACTGGAGGGTCTGGGGGAGGCGAAGACGCCCCTTGTCGCGTGGCGGGAGGAATTGTGGCTGCCGAGGCGGGTGCCTGTTGTAGGCTGGCGAAGGCCGAGGGGCGCTGGATCACTCCTAAGGCCGTCGCATAACACGAGGACCTCGGGTCTGCTATGTGAAGGGTAACTCGTGGAGCCAGGGGTGACGGGCCAGGGTCAAGCCAGGCTGGGCCAGCAAAGCACCGGGCATTGGGAGCTCTGCTCCTTCCCTGATTGTGGAAGTGGGATTCCCACCCCCAAGATTAGTCTCATGTTCTCCACAGCCTTTTCTTCCCAAACAGGTCACCGTCTTCTTCCGACATGGGTCGCTATCGCTGGTGCAGCCTCGCAGGTAGGGGTCACAGAAGGAGCGCTAGTGTGGACTGCCTGCTGGTGTTTCAGCTGTTTTGTTATATAGGCCATAAACTGAGATTGTGACCTCGATGTGGAGGATAGTACCATTTTTACAAGCATCCTCTTACTTGTGATCTCAGCATACACACTGCTTCATTTTCTTAGGAAAATGAAGTTGTGAGCAAATTTGAGACCGTTTTCATTAAGCACTAGTGCTTCCATCATTGCTACCACGTGTGGAGCTCTGAGCAGAGGAAACCAGGGATGAAAAGGTTGATGTGAATGCGGCTAAACTTTCAGTTGAACTCTTAAAGCCTCCCCCTGTTTCCTGTGCTGAATTTCCTTGTGTGAGGCTAATTGGTGCTAACAAGAAAGGGAGCCCCATTTGACATATTTTGACCAAAAGCATAAAGGAAAATAAAGTTGGGGTTATGGCCTCTCTGCTTTTTAATGGCTTCTAAGTGAGGTGCAGAAAAGATTGGAATGCGGTTTGGTTTTTTCATGTTGGATATTTCCGAACTTTTGTGGAAGCGTCAGCATTGCGGGCTTGATACTCTCTTAGCTTGGCATTTAGAGCAGAACAACACCCCCCCCACCCCCAAGATGTGAAGACAATAACAATTTCTTTTTCATTCCTTCTGTCAGTTGTAGGGCCTAGGCTGCCTTATCTGAAATAGAAATGGAAATATGCAGCTGAAGAAGAAAACCACTTTAAATCTGCTGTGTTCACATTCATATGGATGAATTCAGAATGTCCCAGGAAGACGTGTCTGCCAATCACCCAAATGTAATAGTCCCAACTTGTGAAGGCAACACTTTCCAAAAAAAAGCGCACAGCATAAGGACTCTTAGCGCTGAAGAAGCCGAGAAACTTGCAAGAGATCAAACTTTAGTGTCTGACTTCAAACAATCAAAACTGGAGAAAGAGGCCCAGAAGAACTGGGATCTGTTTTACAAAAGGAATAGCACCAACTTCTTCAAAGACAGACACTGGACAACCAGAGAGTTTGAAGAATTAAAAGCATGCCGAGAGGTGAGCTATGTGCACTAGTTCTACAAATAAAGGAACAGATGTTGCTAATTATTTTCAAGTGTTATGGTAGTGCTAGAGTGATGTTGTGGCTATGATGGTCCAGGAACTGGGTGGCAAAGATATATTTTCGGGCGATATCTTTTATTGGATCGGCTGCATAGTTGGGATGGAGTTGGATAAGTTTTCCAGTGCAAGACATCTAATGAAAAATGCCTTGCATTCAAAGTTTTATCCAACTCTATCCTAACTATGCAGTTGGTCCAATAAAAGATACTGCCCTAAAAAAATCCTTGCCTTCCAGTCATCTTCAAATGATTTCAAGTCCCCCTTACAGATCAGATAAGCTGTGACAGTGGCTTCTACTGTTATACTTCAAGTCTTTCATGCTGCATCATGCATTCAGTTGCACTTTCAGTACCTCTATGACTGTTGCCTACTCGAAGGCTTCAGAAATTTAAAAAAGTTAAATCACTTTATGAAGTCTGTATTTATAATTGACCTGTCTTATACATTCAGAACCAGACTGGAATATTTTCTCCTATGTCTTATATTAGAGTTTACATAGCTCAGATCTAAGATTTTTAAACACAATTTGAAAAGTTGTTAATTCACCTTAATATGAAGTCATCTAGCTAGAGCTGTTGGTATATTAAAATATGCATGTAAAAAAAAGCATTGAGGTGTATCCTTTGTTCACCTTATTAAATCAGAGATGAGGTAAAGTAGATACAGTAGCTTGCTCATTACCAAAATGGATAGATGAGTAATGGCATATTAATGGCTCTGTAGAGACACATAAGATAGCACAAAATAAAGCCTGTATTTCCTATGTCAAATTGCGAGTGAAAGGATTTTTCAGATTTTGACCGGATGATAAGTGAAACTGATAGTAACTATAAAATGTGACAATCAGTATCTTTACATTTTGAGGATGAAACAAAAGCGATACGGTATGTATTGACTTCTTTTTCACCTCTAGTTTGAAAATCAGAAACTCACTATTCTTGAAGCAGGCTGTGG